ACGAGTGATGATATGCCTGATTGGAGCCATTGAGGATTGACTGATGTTCCGAGTGCTTTCAAATCCTCAGCGCTATCGTATTTCAAAGTCAGATCAGAGAAGCGAGATAAAGAGAAAAGTAACTTACTATTTCTTGTCTAGCTCTAGCCTATTGATTTCGAGGTCAGGACAGTGTTGTACAAGTGTGTAAACGAACACGATTTACCGGCGCTTCATCCAATCGACAAATTCGCCCATATATTGATGCTCCTCTGTGATACGCTTCAATGTGTTGCCTGGTAAAACTTCTTGCGTCGCGGGCATAGCGTCGAGGTTATCGAGCAATGTTGTAGACAATCTGACTAAAGGGAGAATGGCCAAAAGCCATGTGGGCGTAAAAGACTAAATCAGTTTAGATGGACAAGAAATGGATTGAGGCGAGCTACATATTCATTCATATTGTCATTGATATGATGCTGGTGAGGGAGTGTGTAGTATTCCGCTTACCTAATATGCGCCGATCCGACCACATCCGACATTCTTTTTCCATGGCAAGTCGACGCTCATCCGTTTAAACGATAAGCATATACTCTGGTTCCGACATGAGGAAGATACCAAATTCAATTCTAAGCACGGTAGTGCTGCCCCTCAAATCAAGCTTTAATTTCAAGGCTGAAGACCTTGTAGAAATGACATGTACATATACAAGAAAATGAGAAAGGTATCCCTTTTTATCGTCATTGAAAGTGTTAAAGTTGATGTTGGAGGATCGATAGAGGTCGTGTCTGTAGTTATGCCTCCCTAATATTTGTCCCGACAACTAGGGAGACCCACCCAGTACTTGCTGCATTTTCGGAAGACTACTGAATATATTAAAATAATTGATTTCTCTAGGGTCAACTGATGAGTGGCCTCGCTAATAAGGGCAGAATATTGAGAACGAGAACATACAGATTACTCCAAAAATACAGGCGAGATACTCAGGTGGACATGCGACTTGGATCCACCGGCGATACCGGAGACGAAAGGGTTCCTTTTCGTGATACCACGTGCTTTAGAGATCTCTTTACCCCAGGAGGAAATGGGCAATTCTTGCTGAAATCCCATTTGAGATAAATATCCTCGATAATGCGCGAGGTGTTCTAAAATCAATGAGTCAAATATCAACTTGGCAAATAGAGTTAGTTACTTCTCTATGAGTGAAGAGCTTGAATAGGAAGAGATTGTAGAGACTATCAGGGTTAAAGTCCCCAATAGTGAAGAGCGCTGCTACTTCATCTTGTTTCGTGACCCTACTCATAATGGTGTGCATCCTTTTGCGGGGTACGCCATCTATATAGGATAGTCAGTGGTCGGGGACCAGGAGAAGTGATCACTACCAACCAGCATAGCGTTCTACCTCCTCGTCGAGTATTGGAATTAATGGTGGATTGCTAAGCAAGCCAAACTGTTATGAGGCTCAGCTACAGTCATAAAGAGAGGAATTGACGTTACAGAATACATCAATCTTAGCTCGTGATCTAGGAGGACTTCTAGCCGAACACCTCCTGGTGATACCGAGGAGGAATTCTCCAGCGCAAGGGCTTCATCTTTGGCTGGAATCGTTAGATATATATAGCTCTACTCAAACTATCGTGTCATTGCCGGCTACAGGAAAGAGGAGACTTAGATGGAATACACACCAACTCATGTCTTGTACCCAATGCCTTCATCGCACGTCTCATCTCGAATGAGGTTTGTGAGACAGTTCCAAAAATAAGACGGTGCCGCGTTGTACTATTCGAAAAGTCGACATGAACGGCATCCTTCATATATCTATGTTCAGATTCCGACTCGGATTGTGCATGAGCCCAAGATATGAACGAGCTGGATGAAAATTCATGAACATTGTCCTTGGTCGTTCCGAGAAGCCCAACTAAGGCAGTTAGAAAATGACTGTATCAGAAATGATGTGAGATTAGAAAGTAAATTCTCGATATGGAGAAGGGATTGGCACCTATATTCGCTGACCAGATGTGTCACCAATTTCTTGATGTCTTCACTGCGGGATTGATGACAATCTAGGCACTCCTATCTCCAAATTTTATATAAAGTTTGAGCACAGTTGATGTGAATAGTAAATACCGGTAGATGGAAACTGTGCCACGGACTGATCTCACGAACTAGCATGTGTTGGCGCACGACTCTCTCTCGATAATTACGTTCTACAGGATAAAACGCCATCAATTTGAAGTGTTTCTTGTGTAAATGTGTTCATTAACCAGCTAGCGGTGGAACAAACGCTCTCAAATCCGCGTCATTCATCAGAGCCAGAGATTTTCCATTGGTTCCATTGGGACCTTTCTCATGCCATTGCTGCATATCCTTAACAGCTGATTTTGAACTTGCCTCATCCCGACAGACTTCGTGGTCTCTGCAGGATTCGATTAGGTCACCATATTTACTGATCATAGATTTGCGTGACTAGCGAACCAGTTAATTGACTGATTTCACCAGCAATGAGAATGGTTTTCACCTCTTTGTCCAGGTCAGGAGAGCTAACATTGTTTAGCCCTTCCAGGTAAGTGCTCACGCGGTTGCATGTTGCTTGACGTTCTTCGGCTTCTTTATGCCAACTATCAATCGGGTCGAAGTTGAAAAGGTATGGCAAAACACAACAAACCTTGAGCGATCAATTGAAGCATGGAAGAAACTAGCGGCAACACGCCTGATTGAGACCACTTAGGATTAGCAGACGTCCCAAGTGCCTTCAATTCCTCGAGACTGGTGTATTCCACATTCAGGACAAGAACTTCGCGAAATTTGGTGACGTACTACTTCTTGTCCAATTCTAACCTATCGAACCTGAGGTCAGAATATGGTGAATCAGTGCGCACACGAGCATAATTAATTACCTGCGCTTCAGCCAACAGACAAATTCATTCATATACTGATGTTCTTCTGTGATTCGTTTCAGTGTATCACCTGGAAGAGTTTCTTGCGTCTCGAACATGGTGCTGGGGCTATCTAATTTTAGTAATAACCCAGCGGAGGAGAGAATGACCAAAAGCCTCGTGGGCGTAAACAGTAGAACGCCGTTCAGATGATACGAAATAAAGATGCGCTGGGTCAAGCTGCATATTCCTCCACCTCATTACTGGAAGTCGTGAAGTTGATGTCGATGAAGGTAAAGTGGCCTTCGCTTACCTAATATTAATCTCCTATTCAGGCCGCACTCTATCCACGAAAATCTGCCTATTGCATTACCCCGTCATCTATTGTACTTCTATACAATTATTAACATGGTTGAGCCATTGATATCTCCACTAGGTCGACTCATCTGCGGGCCCGCCAATGTCAAGTAAATGAGGATTGTTTTCTAGAACATTTTGTCTACCAAAGGATGCAGTGTCACCGTCTATATACCTATAGATTTGAAGGTTGCTTTCTGCTTACCTGACATTCACCGACCGCATCCTACGTTCATCACTCTCTGCAACAAACATGACCATGCGTCCAACATAAGAGACCCAATCAAAGTTTGGGCACAGCGTCACTCCTTTTCAAAATCAAGTTTTGATTTCAAAGATGAAGGGTATAAATGCAACCATATACACCATCATGACGTTGTTATTAGTAGATTGAATGCTACACAGCAGATTTTGAATTCTTAAGGCCCTCCGGGCAATTCCTGACCGAGAACATCTTTTGACAAACAATGTAGATTTCGAGTACTAAGAAAACATCATTATAAAAGTGACATTCCAAATCTATTGCTACCATTGAGTACATCTTGACTTGATTGGATCGTCCATATCCTTGCATACTATGGTTTAAGATAGAAGTCTTCAAGATAGTGATACACTCAC